TTTTTTTTTTTTTTTTTTTTAAATCGTACGGCGCACGCCAGATCGTCGGGCGAACAATTAAACGAAGAGTTTGATTAACAACTGGCCTTGTATTTTAGTTCCACGCAGTTGAGAGTTCGAGTTCAAATCGCTTTCGAAAGATTCATCTGCAAATGTGTGATATTTCTTGTTGCTCGTGCAATACGAACAGACTGCATTTATAAATATCATGAATTGATAATTTCGTAAAGGTTTTTCATTTCATTTATGTATACACGACTGAGAATCATTATAATGTAACAATATATCATGGTTACAATTAAATTACAATAAAAAAAGGAAAAAATTATTCGTGAACTGCTGCATGAATAATTCTTCGAAATTAATTATTTTCACGCAATATCGTCAATGCAGTACTGATTATTAATTCGAACGTTACTTGATACATTCGTATATCGGGTTTCTTCGTTCTTCGTGCGGGTAATTAGATGAAAGTGCCGATCAATGACCAGCGCGAGAAGTTTCGATCGAGCGGAATTTGCGGAGAGTTTTCGATGACTGCTTCGTGGATAAGGTAAACAAATGCAATTCCAGCCACGCGGCTGTGGCACACGGCTTGCTACGTGACTGAATTCCGTAGCCGATTTTTCTACCCTCGCCCTTATGCTCCGACGCAATCGCCTTAATACCGTGTCCAAGGGTTCCCGAGATCGTGTCGAAGGATCGTGTTTTTCGCTTGCTCGAGGCAAGAACGCGTCTGCATGAAACTCGAACGAGGAAACGAGAAATAAGAACCAAATTCAAGCGAATCTTGCGACGGTTGTTCCATCGGTATTGATTTTTTGATAACGTCGTGCGTGGAATTTCCTTTGGTCAAGCACGCAATCACGTTAAATTCAATATATTATTTTTAATGCCTGGTTTTGTCACGTTTCGTAGAGATTGAAACGCGCAAGACTTGTGACGCAACACTTGATTTGCGAAACAGATCTCAATTTAAGTCTTGTTATTTTTTTTTTTTTTTTTTTTTTTTTTTGCCCAGCTGCTCTCGTAGAGATATATAAATTTGCATAAATGTCTGCAGCGTGATAATTTCACATCTGCAAAAATTATTCATTTCACTCAGAGTAAAATTCCTTCAACGTTGCGCGCGAATATTTTTCATATTTCGTTTGTTCATTTCTGGTACTTTTTTCTCAATTTTTTTTTTTTACGTTCTGAAATGTGTTTTCGATTTACAAGGTGTACATGAAAATGATAATCCCACTGTCGAATAACGGTTGTCGGCGAGTAAATACTGATTTAAGCAAATATTGATTAATAATTATTTTATGTAAATGGCCCAGCGAAAATAATAATATGAATACGGCCATATTATTAATCGGTTAATGGTACATCTGTATCGACTGAATAAAACTTTACTAATGCTCTTTTGCATCATTGCTAATACGGGAATTAATTACAAACGGACAAGCATTCCTCGCTTCTTATCGATTTTTCTTGTTTAACGAAAATCCTTTAGTAAATTCGGATAAAAAGCGAAAGATTAACAAATTATTCTCGCGTAGAGAGAAACTCGGAATTTCACGAATTATTAGCAGAATCGATACTTATGTCAACGAATTGTAAACCAAAAAAAATCTCGTCGGAGAGAATTTTTCCAGAGAATAATCCGATCACGTACTTTGTATAAATTGTTTCAAAAACATGAATCACGGACGTTTCACACAAACATGCGGAGCATCCGTGTAAAAAGTTAAAAGCTACGGTCTACGAGGTCTCTACGTTACCTGAGATTGTAACTGGCCAACGAGACGTGTCCAGTGTCATAAGCACGTCCACGGAGTACGAGCCTGCACGTGGTGGACTTCAGTTTGCCTCTGGTATCGTGGTGGCCGGCTCTGACTTTCTCGCCGTGTACCTCCAGGTCGCAGCTGCTCGATATCGAGCCCTGATCCTTCCGATGATCCTGAAGATCCCGATTGTTGTAACGTACGTTGTAACCAGCAGCGTTAATCGACTTGGTCGTGTCCACTGGAATTCGAATCGAATTAACGCGCACACGTGACGATGGGCAATCGCAGGTGGAGAAAAAAAAAAAAAATAAAATAAAATGCAGAGATGTTGAAATCGCTGTTCAAGCAGAAACGACCCAGTTTCGGCGGATTATAATCTGATCGAATAAAAGCAGGAGTTGGAATTAATTATCTCTGGCCACAAGGATTTTTCAGAAACGATTCAGAATGCCCGCGGGACGGAAGATTTAATGAAGGAATCGCTTCATCGGTGCCATTTCTTCTTTTTCCCTGTTTTCATCGTGGCTCTTGTTAAATCATGCAGATTTAAACAGCTCCTTTCGATCGTGATCGTTTCTATCTTCGCGCGATTTTATAATAAATGGTAATACGAAGTTGTAATGAATTATCATCTAAGGGATGGAAACATTACGCCTAGTCAAGGATTACAATATCACGATCAAAGATCATTGAAGTTAAAGGAAAAATAATTCTAGAACGTATTTTATTTTATTTCTAGCTATTTTATAGATGTAGCTCGTTGGTATGGTACACTTTGTTAACCCCTTTTTACCTTGAGAAGCGTTATTCAATAACAACTCATTTTAATCTCCGATTAAAAGATGAAATTTTCGATTCGTAGTATTCTTGCTCCGAATACTTACAGCTTTTATTTGTGCTGTCCGTAGTAACCGTGGTAGGTGCTTCCGTGGTAATTTCTATGAAATTAAGAGTAGCGACGAAGCCATTGTAATCGAAAGGCGGCACTTCCGGCCCCG